TACCTCACCTTTGGACAGCCAATCGTCGTTGGTTTTGCTATTAGTCAAAAAGTGTTGTTTAACTCTAGTGATATTGAAAAGTCATGGTTGTCTCCATTCAGGTTGTCTCCATTCATGGTTGTCTTCATTGTCTCCAAATATACCACAGTTACATGCAGTTTGATACCTACTTGCACTCCATACCTACTTAACCATGACAGCGGAACATCGGGTACTAATTTCTTATTTCACTGAAATATTTTAACGACGTATAATTATTTTGTAATTATGCACCACGTTTAGTTGTAAGAGTGTATCGTACTACGCAAACGTACTACGCATCGTACTACGATTTTGAGAGTGAAAAGAAAAGAAATCAGGAAGAAGCGAAGAATCGTCTCCAGATACTGTAGATGGCATAGCCAGCTACTGTACGAACGCGGTTCCTTGTTTCTCTCCTAGGTTTCCTTTACGTTTATTTGTACGATATGCATTGATGCCAACTGACAGCAATATTCTTTTTCACGGCAGACGACGAGCTGCTAGCTCTACTTGCCTATGGTTGTGGAACAACCATTGGCACCTTGGCGGATCCGAGAAACGGGGTTCGTCAGGCAGGTGAGGAACTATCGGTGGACGGTGTGGTGGTCTGCCAACTGCCGGCCACCATGTTGGAGACCGTGGCCCTAATGACGGCCGCCCACGCTGTCTTCTACACAAAGTTCACGGGGCCCTGCAGGGCCCTGTTCGAGATTCTTTACCGGAGTGTGGGATTCGATGTAAACCTATCTGGCTTATCACAGAAGGTGTGGGAGGTTACCCAGGTAGTGTAGAACCAGCATCGGAGATGCCCACTTCGAATGACTGGCGACCTGTGGCTCACCTGTGGTTCAAGTGACTCTTGACTTGTGGCTCACCTGTGGCTCAAGTGACTCACAACGTGTGGCTCACACTACTGGAGCCTCTGTATTATGACTAATTCAGCTGCGGCGGTCTCAGTACGCCAATGAGGCTCAGTACGTCTTTCATACCCCAGATCACGCTCGTTTTATATGCCATCCGTGGCGGTGGTTCTGTGCGCAGATGTTATTCGTTAGCCTCAGTGTTAACCATACACGCTCGTTTTATCTGCCATCCGTGGCGGTGGTTCTGTGCGCAGATGTTATTCGTTAGCCTCAATGTTAACCATACACGCTCGTTTTATCTGCCATCCGTGGCGGTGGTTCTGTGCGCAGATGCTATTCGTTAGCCTCAGTGTTAACCATACACGCTCGTTTTATCTGTCATCCGTGGCGGTGGTTCTGTGCGCAGATGTTATTCGTTAGCCTCAGTGTTAACCATAACGCCCTTGTGAGTTGTGACCTTGAACGTCCTTCCAGTGATTTCGCATTGCGGCCGGCAGAGACGAAGTTTTGCCTCCCAGTTGAGACGCCGCTTCTCAACTAGGAAGCAAAATTACGTCCCTGTCGGCCGCAATGCGCCATCACTGGAAGTGCGTCCAAATTAAGATGTACCTGCTGATGCTCAGGTGCCATTCGTTAATCAATTGTTGGTGTTTCAATACATTGTTTAAATGCATTCCTTATTTTACACTTGGTCATAATATTATCACATCACCCCGCATTATCAGGGGTGGTACTTTTACACCGGGGCTTGATTTTACCGGGGAGTTACTCCGGGGTAAAATTATCGAAAAAAGGAGTGCTTTTTGGCATGGCAATATTATTCCCCGAATGGGAGTAATTTTAGTATTAAGTTAATAAAATTATCATCTGGTGTAATTTTATCCAAAGATAGCATACTTTTATCCTCCGCCATAAAATTACTCCCGAGCACGAATAAAATAAGCGTTCGGATACTAAATATATTCTATATGCTAGTTTTATTCCCCAAAACTCCCCATTTTAGGCGCTTATGCCAGGTCATAAAATTATTCGATTGCAGGAGTGCTTTTTGGCATTCTAAAATTAGAAAATGGGGAGTAAGTTTTTTCAGTGTACGGCTCTCGCTCTGATGAGGATGGTTCACTCAACGTACAGGTCTCCCGGGTTTTAGGCGGTAAGTTTTGCCTTTGCTAAATTTAGTAAATTTCCGGATATATCTAAGAAACTAATCGGTGTGAGATGACGCCATTTTAGAGGAACATGGCAGGCATGTGTACGAATAAATCGATGGCATCTTACACGCTAAAAAGCTTAACACGAAAAATATATGGCCGGAAATTTAATCACGCGCAGTGGATGGGGGGGGGGGGCGAATTTCGCCCACTTCTCCTGTTTTTCGCCAATAACTCGCGTTCGATAAGTGATGTTAACGTGAAATTTCGGCTACCGGTCCAGAATTGAATTGCGGATCTTTTCGTGTAAGAAATTTGAAAATCGCTTCACAACTCTTCTAGCAATAGCGGTGTAAATTCAAATATCATTCCGCAGCGGCGCGCCAGCCGGCGCCGGCTGTTGCGCGCCGCCCGAATGTAGACTGTGCCGGGGCCTCCGTCTTTACATTGCACTTCAGTTCTTACTGCTGAATACGTTCGATTCGCGTCAAATCTTGTGTGAAGACTAAGAAATTTACTAGCAATCTTATGGTCAAAGAATTTTGGAAATCGGCCGGTGAAAATGAATTATGAGCGTGTAAATACAAAATTGTGATTGTCGCGTTTCCTGCGTCGGCCGATCCCGCCGCAGCGGGTGACATATTCTTAGCAGGCTTCAAACTATCATACTGATTGTTGAATTAATTAGAAATTCATCATTCAAGCTCAAAAAGTCTGCTCTTTCATATAGTGAAAGAAATAACAAAATCGGCTTGAAACTTTTGGAGTTATTGGCGGGTAAATGCAAAATTGTCGCTAATATGGCAATTTTGACCACATTTGACCTCATTTGACCTTAACCCTCGCCCGCACATGCCATTTTCCCATCCTATAGAACGCACATGGGGCCCCTCTACCCGGGCCCCATGTGCGTTGCCACCCCTCCCCCCTGCGCCATTTCGTTCCTGTTGGAGATAGAGCTTCGCGGTAAAGACCAAAAAGATTCTTTGGGAAGAGACAAATCCAATGATACCCAGTTTTACCTTCTCAGGTCAGTCATTGGCATTCCAGGTCAGGTCAAACTAAAAAATGTTGCTGTTTTGGGGTCACCGCTGGATATCAAGTGCGCTGCTTAGCATATACCGATGACGATGCCGTTTTCTGGTGCCAAGGCAGCTAGAACCTCTTTGTCACACTACCCGACCAGGTTTTTTGCTGCTGAGGTCATTTCAGGTCAAGTTAGGTCAAGATCAATGATATGTGTTTGTATGACTGTGTGTGTGTGTGTGTATACTGATGTGTGCACCGATTGTTTATGTGTCCATATTACATGAAATCATGATCTGGGAAGTGGGAAGCTTTTACCGAAGGTTGTTATGAAACCACTAACCAGCGTGCTTGGCGCACTCGGGCAGCACCCGCATCTGGTAGAAGGCAGGCGCTCTTAGTCATGTCCATCTAGCTCACAAAGCCCCTGTTTCACCTCAACTCTTATAATATGCGCTGCATATAATCCAGTACAGGGCCCTCAGGGACACGTAAAGGTTAGTCTTGCTGCCCCAGAGACAGAAATGCCACCAGAGGCCGATGTGAGGTCCTCAGACGCCGGATGGGCCCTTGAGGCCGGTTTATGGGCCCTTAAAGGCCAGCAGAGGGCCCTCAGAGGTCAATGCGGGTCCTCCACGGTCAATGTGGGGCATGACCACCACGGAAGGGCCCTCAGAGGTCAGTGTAGGACCCTCAAAGACCGGCATGGAGGTGTTAATAGCTGGCGTGGGTTTCTTGAGCCTCGTGACAATCGAATAAGGGCCGGGGCCCCATCGCTTTTTTTTTTGGTGGGGAATTATATGATAACCCCTGATTTTCCGTGGGGGGGGGGGGGTCATGGCCTGATGCCTCCCCCCTCTACCCGCCGTCTCCGATCCCCACTCCGATGTTCCAGAGGGAATTGATTTAGAAAATGTTGGCTTGACCAGCGGCCGGCCCAGAGCGGTGGCCCAGTACTGCCCTGATCCTGACCTTCCGCCGGGTCCCCACGCACTGTGGCGACCAGCCCCTCATACAGCTGAGTCTGCCCCAGCTCGTTACCGGCGGGCAGCTGCATATCGTCATCGGTCGGGTTTATAAGCTTTATGTGTGCCACCGTATTATTGGATTGATTTTTGGAGAGACCGTTCATTTTCCTATCAGAATCTATTCATTCTCTGCCCCAATGTCCACAAATTTATTTGTAGTGAGCATTTTAGCAAACCATTGCAAAAAAAGTTGGGGGCAAGTTGGGGGCAAGCGCCCCCGCTGCCCCCCCCCCTGTTCCCGGGTCTATGCCTGGGACCAAGAATGTAGCCGGAACATTTTGTTACTATATAATATATTTGAGGGGGGCTGATTTGCCCCCACCGTCCAGTTTTTCTTCTCTGTGCGAAAAATGGCATGAGCTGACGGCATTGAAATTGTCGACGTTTTCGTTGTCAGTCATGGAGGGTATTGGGTCAAAATGATGAGTTTGTTTCGTGTTCAGAGGCGTCTCCACGGTCAGTTTCTGGGAGACATGTTTTCGGCAGACCTCATCAGTCATCCCCGCCGTCCACGGTGTCTCCACCACCCTCGGCTCCACCGGCCACGGTGTCTCCACCACCCTCGGCTCCACCGCGGCCACGGTGTCTCCACCAACCTCGGCTCCACCGTCCACGGTGTCTCCACCACCCTCGGCTCCACGGCGGTTAAGCATTGTGATATCCCACACAGGCCACACACCAGATCATAGACATTACGCCCTTGTCCTTGTCTTGTCGCCAGATTGATCGTGTTAAAAGATCCAACATAAAGTTTCAACTCAATATCTTGTATAACCAGGGCTCCTGTGATCTGCAATTCGTTGCAAGATCAATTGGGTTGTGATCATTGATGTCACTCACATGTCTATGCACTTGTTTGCTGATCGCTAACGTTTGTAGCATCAATCAATATATGCAAATGTGTTCTCCAGGTTTTGGTGGCACTCTTCAGTGTCCCCACTGCGACTTCAGCTGTTTGGGACAACATTGTCTGGACAGACACTTGAAGAGACGACACGGCCAAAGCGTGAACGGCAGATACAAGTGCAAGTGGTGTTCTTACGTCACCGACCACTCCGGCAGCATGACGCGGCACCGAAGGACTCACGCGAAAGAACGGCCGTACTGCTGTGAAGTGTGCGGCAAAACGTTTGCTCAACACGTCGGTCTGACCGCTCACCGTCGTGTGCACACCGGTCAGAGTCCGTGCAAGTGTGATATCTGTGGGAAGGTGTTCACACGGTCCGGTGCCCTGACGATGCACAGACGTGTCCACGTTGGCGAGAAGGTCCGGCAGTGTGAGCAGTCTGGTGCCGCGTGTTTAGCTACAACTAACGGCAAAGAACACAAGACACACGGTGTCCGTGTGAAGCCGCATCAGTGTCATGAATGTCGAGCCAGATTTGTTACACGCGCAGATCTCACTGTACACATACGAACCCATACCGGGGAGAAGCCGTACAGCTGCTCCATTTGCCCGGCACGGTTCGCTCGGCGGTCAAATCTCGTCAGACACGTGCGGACCCTTACAAAGGAGAAGTCGTTTGGCTGCTCCATTTGCCAGGCAAGATTCGCTTATCAGTCAACGCTCACCATACACATGCGGACCCACACAGGGGAGAAGCCTTTTGACTGCTCCATTTGCAAGGCACGGTTCGCTCTTCGTTCAACTCTCACCAGTCACATGCGAACCCATACAGGGGAGAAGCCTTTTGACTGCTCCATTTGCAAGGCACGGTTCGCTCAGCGGCATATCCTCACCGAACACATGCGGACCCACACAGGGGAGAAGCCTTTTGGCTGCTCCATTTGCCCGGCACGTTTTGCTCGGCGATCGGCTCTCAGCGGCCACATGAGGACCCACACAGGAGAGAAGCCGTACAGCTGCTCCATTTGCCCGGCACGGTTCGCTGAGCGGTCACATCTCGTCAGACACATGCGGACCCACACAGGGGAGAAGCCGTATGGCTGCTCCGTTTGCCCGGCACGGTTTGCTCTTCGGTCAAGCGTCACCGAGCACATGCGGATCCACACAGGAGAGAAACCGTTTTGCTGCTCTGTTTGCCCGGCACGGTTCGCTCAGCGTTCAACCCTCACCAACCACATGCGGACCCACACAGGGGAGGAGCCGTTTGGCTGCTCCATTTGCCAGGCACGGTTTGCTCATCGGTCAGCCCTCATCAATCACATGCGTATCCATACAGGGGAGAAGCCGTATGGCTGCTCTATTTGCCCAGCCCGGTTCACTAATCGGTCAAGCCTCACTGCACACATGCGTACGCACGCACGCGGGGAGCGCCCGCACAGCAGTCCCTCATCTACCCGGCGCGTTTTTCTGTTGGGTCAGATGTCACCAAACAAATGACACCACACAGAATAGCGACCCTTCTGCTGCTCCATCAAACAGACGCCGTTTGCTTTTCGGTAAGGTCTCAAGGGAAACATACGAACCCACACATGAGAGCGACCGTACGGCTGCTCCATCTGCACCGTACGATTTTCGGTTTCATCACAACTCAAAAGCCAGCTGCTGATTCACACGGGGAAACGACCTAATGGTCGTTTATACTAAATGAAAATCATCCTTAACCCGCGTCCCGCTGGCGGTCCTGTATTTCCAGGTTCTGCTGGGGGCCCTATAACTCGGCCTCTGGGCCATGTATCGGCACGCCGTAGGCGGTGTTCCAAAGAGCGTCCAAATAATGAGAAAAATACTCTTGTCACTTTTTATGTCAGATAAAAGGTAAGGTCGCTAAAGGTCAACAAAGGTGAAATTTGTCACTTTCTAGGTCAAACTTCGATAATTTTCGACAAATTGGCAGTGTGAGCAGTCTGGAACCGCGTGTTCAGCTACATCTAACGACAAAGAACACAGGGCACCTCGTATTCTTGTGAAGCCCCACCACTTTCCTGAGTGTTTGGCATGTTTTTTTTTTAGATGTGCATGATGTACGGCTCTTTAATGAAACAGTGGTTGGTTTTGCTTTTTAGGTTATATCTGGTCTTATATGAAATCCAAAGGCGTAAGCATTAACCCGATTCGTATGTATGCATATTTGTCACGAGACTGTGAGATTGCATCTTTGTATGCCGAATACTTTCCGAGATATTAAACAAAAACCTCATTTTTTGGCGTTTGGGATATTCTGGCCGCAGTCTTCCTGGGACCGCCTATGAGAGCAGTGGAGCCATCTAACGAGAGGGACGCGGAAACACAGAATCATGAATGAATCGAGCATGTAGTAAACGGAGCATGGAAGGGAGACTCAGCAGAGGCTATCCGGGTGGCCGGCGCGCGCCGCGCCCTCGGGCGTCGGCTGGCCCTTCGGACCGCGTGGGGTCAGAGGTCGCGCTCGGGAAGTCTCGGCTCTGGGTTTTAGCGCTGTGAAACAGGAAGGCGGGGGAGGATAACGCCAGCCCGACTGACCTATAGCTTGGCTGATTTGTATGGAGTGGAAGGGGAGCACAGAACTGGATTGTTACTTGTGCGTATGACGGAACGGATGTATCTGCATAACCTGTGATATAATATTCGTAGGTAATTATGACAGGACTTAAAAAAGGGAATTAACGCTGGCCCGAGAGAGCGGACGGGTACCGTCCTACCCCCCCCCCCCCCCCCCCTGTGGCCTTTGTCTAGATTTCTTTGAACATGAGGCCGATGGAAAGCTTAAGGTTGGCACTCCCGACCTTGGTTTCAGCTTATTTGGGTTGGTATTGGGTTGGTTCTTCGGCACAAAGATGTTTTCATGTCAGGCCAGGTCACTGACCGACATAAATTAGACTTTGCACGGTCTTAACCCGCGCCGCGCTAGTGCTCCGCGACTTACGCGCCGGGCCGGGGGGGGTCTGAACACCCCCCCCCCCCCGTTTAACTCGGCTCCTGGGCCGACACGTGGTAAGCGACATTCGAAAGAGCGTCAAAAATGATGATGGAAACACTTCGCTCATTTTTTGGTCAGGTCAAAGGTCAGGTCGCCAGAGGTCAACAAAGGTCAAATGTAGTCCATTTCAACAATCTTGGAAACTGCCAACGCTAACTCGGAAACCAATAGAGCTACAGCGCCAAGGAAAAGTGCATTCGATAGCCCTTTTACATACCTTTCTGAATATTGCTCTCAGATTTGACCTGAGGTCAACGGTTTAGCCCCCAGAGGGCAAAAACTAAAATAGCAGTTTTCACGAAAACTGTTATCGGCAATAACTTTTGACTCAATAGTGTCACGATATTACTTTTGACAGCATCGTGTTCCTCTCGTCGAGACGCGTCGAATGAGCTATTTGTTGACCTTGAAAGGTCATTTTGAAAATTTGACCTCTGGTCAAGGTCATGACCTGACCGAAAATGGTCATGTGTTCTTGGGGGGTTGTGTTCGCGGCGCCGACGGTGGGTGAGCAGTGGGACGCTTTTGCGGCTCGCTTTTTACCGATTGTTGACGCACACGCACCAGTGAAAAGACTGACAATCCGAAACCCCACCGCGCCCCCGGTCTCGCCGGCCACGCGTGACCTCATGGCCCGCCGCCGGGCAGCGCTGGCGCGCTCCGGCCGTGACTCCGCCGAGTATAGGGAGCTTGAACCGGGCCGTCCGCTCCGCGGTGCGGAGTGACAGGCGCAGTGATATACAGCGGGAGATCGGCGAGCGCGGTCCGGCCAGAGTGTGGCGCTGTATCAAGTCTGTAGTGGCGGGTAAGAGGGAGGGGGGTTGTGTTCGGCCTGACGCCACCGCGGACGAGCTGAACGAGTTCTTTGTTTCGGTTGGCCCGCGGGTGGCCGCGGAGATTGGGGCGCGGACGGAGGGGGCGGGACCTGTCACTGACGCGCGTCTGCCCCGTGTTGGGGCCTGTTCGTTCGCCCTCTCTCCCGTGACTCGGGAGATGCTCGGACACACGATCTTCAGCATGCGGAGCTCGGCGGCCTGGTCTCAACGTACAGGTCTCCCGGGTTTTAGGCGGTAAGTTTTACCTTTACTAAATTTAGTAAATTTCCGGATATATCTAAGAAACTAAGCGGTGTGCGATGACGCCATTTTAGAGGAACATGGCAGGCATGTGTACGAAAAAATCGATGGCATCTTACACGCTAAAAAGCTTAACACGAAAAATATATGGCCATTGGCCGGAAATTTAATCACGCGCAGTGGATGGGGGGGGGGGGGACGAATTTCGCCCACCCCTCCTGTTTTTCGCCAATAACTCGCGTTCGATAAGTGATGTTAACGTGAAATTTCGGCTACCTGTCCAGAATTGAATTGCGGATCTTTTCGTGTAAGAAATTTGAAAATCGGTTCACAACTTTTCTAGCAATAGCGGTGTAAAGTCAAATATCCTGCCGCCGCGGCGCGCCAGCCGGCGCCGGCTGTTGCGCGCCGCCCGAATGTAGACTGTGCCGGGGCCTCCGTCTTTACATTGCACTTCAGTTCTTACTGCTGAATACATTCGATTCGCGTCAAATCTTGTGTGAAGACTAAGAAATTTACTAGCAATCTTATGGTCAAAGAATTTTGGAAATCGGCTGGTGAAAAATGAATTATGAGCGTGTAAATACAAAATTGTGATTGTCGCGTTTCCTGCGTCGGCCGATCCCGCCGCAGCGGGTGACATATTCTTAGCAGGCTTCAAACTATCATACTGATTGTTGAATTAATTAGAAATTCATCATTCAAGCTAAAAAATGTCTGCTCTTTCATATAGTGAAAGAAATAAGAAAATCGGCTTGTAACTTTTGGAGTTATTGGCGGGTAAATGCAAAATTGTCGCTAATATGGCAATTTTGACCATATTTGACCTCATTTGACCTTAACCCTCGCCCGCACATGCCATTTTCCCATCCTATAGAACGCACATGGGGGGTTGCCACCCCTCCCCCTGCGCCATTTCGTTCCTGTTGGAGATAGAGCTTCGCGGTAAAGACCAAAAAGATTCTTTGGGAAGAGACAAATCCAATGATACCCAGTTTTACCTTCTCAGGTCAGTCATTGGCCTTCCAGGTCAGGTCAAACTAAAAAATGTTGCTGTTTTGGGGTCACCGCTGGATATCAAGTGCGCTGCTTAGCATATACCGATGACGATGCCGTTTTCTGGTGCCAAGGCAGCTAGAACCTCTTTGTCACACTACCCGACCAGGTTTTTTGCTGCTGAGGTCATTTCAGGTCAAGTTAGGTCAAGATCAATGATATGTGTTTGTATGGCTGTGTGTGTCTGTGTATGTATGTATGTATGTATGTATTGACGATCAAGAGCAATCCACAATCGGCGTGGCGATTACACTCCGAGTCCGAGCTGGTTGAAGATAACACAAGAAATAGGTACCTACACAAGAAAACGCACACACTTACGGATACGAAATACACAACGCGAACGCCGAACACGCACATACTTGGTGTAACCCGCACGAAGCCGCGTTCATAACTATGTACACACAGACTCGTTTGCCTTTCATAGTCCAAGAGTCATGAGGCTAGCTACTATGGCTACTCTGGCTAGGCTTAAGCCCCTTTTTTTACAGCACGGGCAAATCTGGCTGGAGGCAACTGCGTTAGCTCGAGGGGGAGAGTATTTAGGAGCGCCGCGGCACGGTAGGCGAATCTACGTTTTCCGGTCTCTAGTCGGGGTCGCGGTAAGTGGAAAAGGTGGTCTTGGCGAGTAGACCTTGCTCGTGTTTGGGAATTTTTGGAAAATAGGGTCGCGATCTCCTCGGGTTCACCTCTCTGGATGGCCTTGTGCGCCGTGATAAGGGTATGGTATTCAGCCATTGTTTTAGGTGCCATCCAGCCGAGTTGGTCCCGGAGATGGGAGACATGATCAAATTTACGGCGACCGAAAATGACTCTAGCGGCAAAGTTAAGAATTTTCTGAATGCGATCGAAGTTCCTTTGGCTACCATTACCAAATACGGAGAGACAGTACTGGATCCGTGACATGACGAGAGCCACCACTAGTGTCTTGGTGACACCGTCGGGGAGGTAGTGGCGGACATGTGAGAGGCCAATTAGGAGACCCGTGCATCGGCGACTGAGCTCGGACACATGCGCGTCCCAGGACAGGGTGCCGTCGAAGATAACGCCCAGGTTGCCCACCTGCTTGCATGGCACTAGTTTGGTGTCGCGAAAAGAAACGGTGAAAGCAGGTATGCTACTCAAATTTTGCCGACTGCCGAAAACCATGAGCTGAGTTTTAGCAGTGTTTACTTTAAGAGCATTTGCACTGAACCAATGGTCGAGAGACGCCAGTGACGCTTCCAAGCGCGAGATGAGTCCCCTAAGGTCGTTTAAAGGGCCACTCACCAACAATTGAGTATCATCAGCGTACTGGAAGACTGCTGCATCCTCAGAATAAAGTGATAGATCATTGGAAAATACCGTGAAGAGTAAGGGACCGAGTGCCGAGCCTTGAAAGACGCCCATAGAGTTGGGGAGAGGTTGTGATAATACCCGGCGACCGGACTCGTCCTTCAATGACACACTCTGTGTGTGACCCTGGAGATAAGCGGCGAACCAGGATGTCTCTATGCCGTGCATTGCCAATTTAGCGAGTAATAACTCATGGTTGATGACATCAAAACATTTGCTTAAATCAATAAGGCATAGCATAGAGACATCCCCCCTATCGGTGGCGGCCAGGATTTGGTCACTGACGGACAGAAGTGCTGTCTCAGTTGAGTGCCGGGGTCGGAAACCGTGCTGGGTATTGGCCAGAAGATGGTTTTGGGAGAGATAGCGATAGAGCTGTTTGTGAATGACTCGCTCGACCACCTTCATAATGACAGGTACTAAGGAGATAGGTCGGAAATTAGTGGGATCAGATGGGTTTCCAGACTTGAAGATGGGGTGAACTATAGAGTGTTTCCAATGAAAGGGGATATCGGACCTTGAGATGCAAGTGTTAATGATGTGAAGGATAACGTCACCGATAGATGGGAAAGCAGTTTTCAGCATGCGAATGCAGACGCCATCAGACGCACAGGCGGCAGAATTGCGCATATTGAAAACGGTGTGACCGAGTTCACCGAGAGAGATAGGTCTGGGCTTAAATCTACCGGTTACGACACGCGGCAAACGGCCAATTTGCTCAACAACTGGATTTTGGTCACGGATCTCTGTAGCGACGCGGGGACCCACAGAAACGAAAAAAGAATTTAAAACGTCAGCCGATACATCAGGTTGAACACTAGGTCCGTCTTTCTTACCAGCCACAACCGACCTAATACTTTTCCACACCTTGTTGGGACCCCGCCCACTAATCTCTCTGTGAAGTTCGCCGCGTCGGTCTCGTCGCACTGCGGCCCGGACAGTTCGGTTTAAGTCTTTGTAAACCTCCGACTTTCTACCGAACTGCTGTAACGCGGTACGACGTTGATCCATGATTTTAAGTGTGGCGGGGGTAACTGGTGGTGCTGTAGGATTACGGATGGTAATATTCTTTATAGGTGCGTGATCGTCAAAAATCGGCAGAAATTCGGTCAGGAAAGCATCCCACTGGTCACTTACGTTCGTGGCACTAAACACGCCCTCCCAATCGGCAAACATCAGGTCAGAGTTCAGGGCATCGACATCTATACGGTTGATCGAGCGGGATTGAACAACTGTAGGATTTTTGCGTTGTTTCGGAACGTTAATAGACACACGAAGGAGTTTGTGTGGGCTGAAGTGGCAAAAGGATGCAGAGCAATCACGCACAAGCTCTCTATTTTTAACCATACAGACGTCTAGCAACGAGCCGGAAGTGTACGTTGGAACGGTTACAAGCTGCTCAAGAGAATAATTCGATAAAAAGTCACTGAGGTGTACACGCGCACGAAAACTCTCCTCCTTCAACATATCACAGTTTAAATCGCCACAGATCATAAATGGAATCTTGGGAAAATCAATTAATACACGCTGTAACTGCGTCTCGAGGTCCGAAAAGTCAGCTCGCAGAGCGGCATCGGTCTGTCGGGGCGGCCGGTACACAGAGCAAACAATTAACTGGCGATTTCGTTCGAGCTTGAACAACATCCACCGGGTTTCCAGGAGACTGCCGGGGTGCGGGGATGTGCTCGGTTTGATGGTCACAGTTTTCATATCCGTTTTTGACAGTACGGCGACCCCGCCGTAGCCGCTGCCGTCTGGTCGGTCGACTCGGCTGAGAGAGTAGCCGGGAATCACGAGAAGTCGATTTGGAGTAGAAGGGCGCAGCCAGGTCTCGGCCAGGAGGCAGGCGTCGAAATCGTGACGGTTTAGTTCTTCGGTGAGTTCTAGTAGTTTTGGCTTCAGGCTTTGAATGTTCAAAACGCCGATCAAAAGACCGGTGTTTGCTGTCTTTGTGAGCCGGCGGGTTTCCGAGATGGTGAGTCGGGCCGGTTGGGTGAGGGTTCTGTGACTGGGCTCCTCTGGTGCGCGGGTCGTCGCGCGGTGCTGCCGGCCGGACCCACATACGACACTGATTGATTGGTGTGCGTGAGCTCTGGTACGGCGGATCAGGTGATACAGACGAGGGGGTAGGCTGACCCTGATCCTCTCGGTGACGTCACTAGTCGCGTCGTCCCAGCAGAGCAGTCTGCGGACTGCCAGCAGCTGTTCCCGGTCATACTTGGTGTTAGTCCTGACTTGGGTTTGTGGACGCTCTACACGGCGGGGTAGAACCCCAGCGTCCGAGGCGGCCGGCTGATAGCCGCAGCCCCCTCCTCCTCCCCTGGCGCGTCTGGCCCGCCGTCCACCACGACACCCGCGGTGAGCGGGCCGGCGGCAGCGGGCCTCCGTCGCCTCCCGGGCGCCGGCCATGTTGACATTAGCCGGCCCGAGTCCCGTCCCCTCCGCTGGTGTATATACTGATGTGTGCACCGATTGTTTATGTGTCCATATTACATGAAATCATGATCTGGGAAGTGGGAAGCTTTTACCGAAGGTTGTTATGAAACCACTAACCAGCGTGCTTGGCGCACTCGGGCAGCACCCGCATCTGGTAGAAGGCAGGAGCTCTTAGTCATGTCCATCTAGCTCACAAAGCCCCTGTTTCACCTCAACTCTTATAATATGCGCTGCATATAATCCAGTGCAGAGCCCTCAGGGACACGTAAAGGTTAGTCTTGGTGCCCCAGAGACAGAAATGCCACCAGAGGCCGATGTGAGGTCCTCAGACGCCGGATGGGCCCTTGAGGCCGGTTTATGGGCCCTTAAAGGCCAGCAGAGGGCCCTCAGAGGTCAATGCGGGTCCTCCACGGTCAATGTGGGGCATGACCAGCACGGAAGGGCCCTCAGAGGTCAGTGTAGGACCCTCAAAGAACGGCATGGAGCTGTTTATAGCTGGCGTGGGTTTCTTGAGCCTCGTGACAATCGAATAAGGGCCGGGGCCCCATCGCTTTTTTTTGGTGGGAATTATATGATAACCCCTGATTTTCCGTGGGGGGGGGGGGTCATGGCCCTGATGCCTCCCCCCTCTACCCGCCGTCTCCGATCCCCACTCCGATGTTCCAGAGGGAATTGATTAAGAAAATGTTGGCTTGACCAGCGGCCGGCCCAGAGCGGCGGCCCAGTACTGCCCTGATCCTGACCTCCCGCCGGGTCCCCACGCACTGTGGCGACCAGCCCCTCATACAGCTGAGTCTGCCCCAGCTCGTTACCGGCGGGCAGCTGCATATCGTCATCGGTCGGGTTTATAAGCTGGACCTGTGGATGTATGTAACCAGCCGAGCTCGTTTCAGCAATCATGCTGGGCACCTCTAGAATCTGCTCGGGTGTCTCCTCGGGTGACTGGGAAACAAACTCGACCAATTTCTCGGACGAGTGCCGGCCTGCCGTATCCAGCTTTCGGCGACCACACGCACGTGCCTGGAGGCCGGAAGGCACCGTCACATCTGTGGGGAGGCACACCGCTCACGGGCCTTTTTATTTACCGTGGCGATGTTGACGCGACCGTTTGCAAGGCAAAACACATGTTTTCGGAGAGCTGAGCAAGTTGCGCCATTATCGTGTCCCGGGTTCTTTGCGTGTCCCCAGTAGAGGGAGCTCCAAAAACTTCTAGGGACAATCCCTAGTAGTTTTTGATTATTTCAAAACTTCTAGGGACAATGTCCCTAGTGTCCCTAGTGGTGGTGACGCCCATGATTGAGATCATTGATGTCACACACATGTCTATGCACTTGTTTGCTGATCGCTAACGTTTGTAGCATCAATCAATATATGCAAATGTGTTCTCCAGGTTTTGGTGGCACTCTTCATTGTCCCCACTGCGACTTCAGCTGTTTGGGACAACATCGTCTGGACAAACACTTGAAGAGACGACACGGCCAAAGCGTGAAAGGCAGATTCAAGTGCAAGTGGTGTTCTTACGTCACCGACTATCCCGGCCTCATAACACGGCACCGAAGGACTCACGCGGAAGAACGGCCGTACCTCTGTGATGTGTGCGGCAAAACGTTTTCTCAACAAGTCGGTCTGACCACTCACCGTCGTGTGCACACCGGTCAGAGTCCGTGCAAGTGTGATATCTGTGGGAAGGCGTTCACACGGTCCGGTACCCTGACGATGCACAGACGTGTCCACGTTGGCGAGAAGGTCCGGCAGTGTGAACAGTCTGGTGCCGCTTGTTCAGGTATATCTAACGACAGAGAACACGGGACACCTCGTATTCGTGTGACGCCCCACCAGTGCCCTGAGTGTTCGGCCAGTTTTGGTAATCGTGCACATCTCATTAGACACATGCGGACCCACACAGGAGAGAAGCCGTTTGGCTGCTCATTATGCACGAGACGATTTTCTCTTCGATCAGCCCTCACCGTACACATGCGAACCCATACAGGGGGGAAACCGCACGGCTGCTCTATTTGCCCGGCACGGTTCGCCGAGCGTAAAAGCCTCACTGTACACATGCGAACCCATACAGGAGAGAAGCCGTTTGGCTGCTCCATTTGCCAGGCACGATTTGCTCAGCGGTCAGCCCTCATCAATCACATGCGTATCCATACAGGGGAGAAGCCGTATGGCTGCTCTATTTGCCCGGCACGGTTCACTGAGCGGTCAAGCCTCACTGTACACATGCGAACCCATACAGGAGAGAAGCCGTTTGGCTGCTCCATTTGCCAGGCACGATTTGCTCATCGGTCAGCCCTCATTAATCACACGCGTATCCATACAGGGGAGAAGCCGTATGGCTGCTCTATTTGCCAGGCACGATTCACTGAGCGGCGGCATCTCACCGTACACATGCGAACCCACTCAGGAGAGAAGCCGTTTGGCTGCTCTATTTGCCCGGCACAGTTCACCCAGCGTTCAACCCTCACCAACCACATGCGGACCCACACAGGGGAGAAGCCTTTTGGCTGCTCCATTTGCCCGGCACGTTATGCTCAGCAATCGGCTCTCACCGTACACATGCGAACCCATACAGGAGAGAAGCCGTTTGGCTGCTCCATTTGCCCGGCACGGTTTGCTCTTCGTTCAATTCTCACCATTCACATGCGGTCCCACACAGGGGAGAAGCCGTTTGGCTGCTCCGTTTGCCCGGCACGTTTTGCTCAGCGATCGGGTCTCAGCGGCCACATCAGGACCCACACAGGAGAGAAGCCGTTTGGCTGCTCCATTTGCCCGGCACGGTTTGCTCTTCGTTCAAATCTCACCAGTCACATGCGGACCCACACATGGTAGAGGCCTTTTGACTGCTCCATGTGTCCGGCACGGTTTGCTCAGCTTTCGCATCTCACCAGTCACATGAGGACACATACAGGGTAGAAGCCGTTTGGCCGCTCCATGTGCCCGGCACGGTTCGTTCAACGGTCGGCCCGAATAGCTCATATGCGAATCCACACAGGAGAGTGGCCGCAACGGCTGTTTCATATGCCCCGCTCGATTTTCAGTTTCATCACATCTTTAAACTCACCTGTCGACTCACAAGGGGGAGCGGCCGCTAGGTCGTCCATTACAAATAACCCTGCTCACAGTGGCGCAGGAACTATTTTCTGTCTGGGAGGCTCATTTCGCGCCGCCGTAATGTACACTGTGGCAGGTCTGGACCCTTCCGTCTTTACATCGTGCTCCTTACCGCTGAATGCGTTTGATTCGCGTCAAATCTTGTGTGAAGACTTAGAACTGTACTAGCAATCTTATGGTCAAAGAATTTTAGAAATCGACTGATAAAAATTTGAGTTGTGAGCGTGTAAACACAAAATTGTGATTGCCGCGTTTCCTGCGTCGGCCGATCCCGCCGCAGCGGGTGACATATTCTTTGCAGGCTTCTAAATGTCATACTGATTGTTGAATTAATTAGAAACTTATCATACATACCTTTCATAAAGTGAAAGAAATCAGAAAATCGGCTCGTAACTTTTTGAGTTATCTGCGTGTAAACGCAAAACTGTCGCTAATATGGCAATTTCGATCACATTTGACCTCAGCTTACCTTGAAGATAATGACCTAGGTTCATGAAACTCACACACAACAGAGTTCTTCATGGCGTCTTCCTACCCTCCAAATGTCGTCTTTCTAGCTTCAGTGGGTGCTGAGATCTTAGGGTGGAGGCGACATTCGCCCCCCCCCCCCCTCCTTCCACTGGACTTAGTACTCACAACCCTTCACCTAGGTACCGCTAAAACCGAGACCTGTACGTTCCATTCTCAAAAGACACATTCGAAAACACCAAGGTAGCGCTCGTACGCATGCTGAATCTGCCCTGCACAGTTTACTGCACAATCGCTGATCAACAGACACATGTGGACTCAGAGACAATGTGGACTACAAACAACGACCCACACGAGGGAACAGGACATGTCTGCGGAGCGACATACATCTTTGCATCTTTTGAGCCTTAAATGTTAACATTTTTTTCCTGATTTCTTGTAGTTCAGTTATATGTACCCAACTTGCTGGCTGCTGCAATACATTGTTGTTCAGGATCAGTTTTTTGTTGTTGTCGTTGTTGTTACGATATTTGGGCGCCGCGTCTCTGAGTGCGCCTCCGACTTTCTGACCTACTCCAACTCCGCCTCTGGGAGCTGGTGGGAAATTGCATTGTTAAAGGTTTAAAACACTGCATTCACAATGTGTTGACTGCTCTAAGTGTCGCAATTACGGAGCGTGTGTATCTTGAGGCTTGCAACATGGTATTTAATGTGTGAATGCCATTTTTATCCCAGGTACATTTTGTCACCAGACGCTTACATCTACTTTCCTAAATTAGCTTCGGAGTTCGGACGACACCTATGCTATACGGTTACAGGACAATTTACCGAACTGCGTTTTGCGGAATGCTTATTCGCCGAATGTCAATATGTCGAATGCATTTTGCCGACGTGTCAGAAAGGCGAAGTGCTAAAAGTCTAAATGAAATTTGCGCACATGCCTTTTTGCCGACGTGCAAAAAGTCTAATTACATTTCGACTAATCGACATTTCAGCAAGCTGCCAATTCGGCAGATTGACATTTCGGCAAATTTACATTTCAACTAATTGACATTTCGACTAATGGGCAAATCGCATTTCGGCAAATTTACATTTCGGCTAATAAGCATTTCGGCAAATTGGCATTTTGGAAGAAAAGGCATGTCGGGAAATGGCATTTTGACATTTTGACACGTCGGCAAAAAGCACATCGGCAAAATGACGTTCGGCAAAATGACATTCGGCAAATCGCCTTTCGGGATTTTGTCCGGACACCTGCGCTACTGGCAACCAGTAGCGGCGGAACACCTTCTTCTTCGGGGGGGGGGGGGGGGGGCACTGCTGACTTTTGGTCCCATTTTTCCATGCAACGCCCATAGGGCTAATGTTAGAATGCCAAAATCAAAGGGGGCACGGTGTCCCGGTGCCCTCCCCGTTCCGCCGCCTATGCTGGCAACAAATTATCGACAATAAATAATACGTGAAGCGTTTCAGTTTTTTGCAATAACCGCTCCAACCACACCACCTACAGACACGATTCAACCACCAATCGACAGCTCTCGATCGTGGCTATGTGCGCGGCACATTTTTAATCGCATTTGCACCCCCCAAATAGCCAAACTCGGCCCCTCGACTATGTCGCCCGACGCTCCAGAGATGGCGCTGACTGTCTGCGTGACGTCAGCTCACACGACCGGCGATCGCCGATCATAAAACGTGCATGTCGCCGCTGGACAACCAATTCCAGCGTACTGTCTTGCTTTTGCCCTCTTGTTCTGAAAATTTGGTCAAGAAACATGGCGTATAACCTTCATTTAAAACCAAATTTGCTCCCAACCACTTCGCCGTAAAACACCGCAATACGCACCAGACCATGTCATCAAGCCGTGCAGAGTACCACGGCTTATTCAAAGGGACAAGGTTTGCGTCCTTGATGGCTCAGTTGGTAGAGTGGTGGACTTCTGGGGCGTGGGTCGCTGGTTCGATTCCACCTCGGGATGTTTTTAAAACGTACTTACATCTTTAGTTGCAGTACCCGGCCGCTAGGGTCGCGACCCCGTAGAGGTCGCTGCGGTCCCCACGTGACCGACCGGCCGCAGTCACGGGCCGGCGGCGGCGCAGTGTGGGGCGAGCGGGCGGAGGGGTTGGTGCGGTAACTGCGGTGCCGCCAGAGCGGCCGCTGCCGGACAGCGGAAATACGGATAAAGTAAATGATGGTGGGAAAGAAGGAAGGGTAAGTGAGCAAATGATTAAGTCGGTGAGAGAAAAAGTGAAGAGGATGGAGCCGAGAGACGTATTTAAAATGTAGCTTAGTTGCGGCACTCGGCCGCTATGAATACATAACCGATCCTAAATGGCGGGGGGGGGGGGGGCGAGGTACCCAGATTTGGGATAGGTTGGTTACAGAATTCAACAAAATAGTGACAAGATTATCGATTATGTTTAGTGGGAACGGGGACGGGCACGGGGACGGAGACGGAGATTTAGCGGCCAGCGGGAGCGGGGACGGAGACGGAGACAAAGAGAGCGGGAGCGGGCGGGAGCGCGGGAACGGGGACGGAAACGTGGACGAATCGGAGAGCAGACAGATACAGAGAGAGACAGAGACAGAGACAGAGGCGGAGACGGAGATGGAGTGGTCAGCGGGAGGCGGACGAAGACGGGGACGGAGACAGAGATCGGGAGCGGGAGCAGGAGCGGGGACAGGAACCAGGACCGAGATGGGGATGGAATCGGAGACAAGTCAGATACAGAGACACTAAGACAGAGAGGGAAGACGGAGACGGAAACAGAGCAGGCACTATTATATCTTTAGCACTGAAAACATTACCGATCGTGAGTGTTGGCTCGGGGGGGGAGTTCGGAGGGGAGGGAAGGAAAGGGGTCGGGGGGGGGGGGGGGGGCCGGGGCGAGTCACTCAGATTTGGGATAGGTTAGTTACAGAATTCCACGAAATACTGAAAAATTAGCGATCATGTTTAGTATAAGGAGCGTACCAAAACCAATATAGCGTCTTGAACTGGGACATATGTAAAAACTTATATGTATCTGCGGCGCGGGCGGGGAAGAAGCCACTAGCCAGTACTTTTTTCAGTACCAAGAGGGGATTGGAGTGGAGGGGAGAGGAGAGGAAGGGAGAGGAGAGGAAGGGAGAGGAGAGGAAGGGAGGGAGTGGAGGGAAGGGGAGGAAATCGAAGGAGGGAGGGAGGGAGGGAGGGAGGGGGGAGCGAAGAAGTGCGATGAAGGAGACGGGGAGAGGAGGGAGAGAGACAGATGGGGAGGGGTAAGTAAGCATACGATTGGATCAGTGATCGACAAAGTCAGAGAGCGGAGAGGAGGGAGGAAAGAGGGATGGAGGCAGGGAGGGAAAGAGAAAGGGAAAGGAAAAGAGAGAGAGAGAGAGAGAGAGAGAGAGAGAGAGAGAGAAAGAAAGAAAGAGAGAGAGAGAGAGAGAGAGAGAGAGAGAGAGAGAGAGAGAGAGAGAGAGAGAGAGAGAGAGAGAGAAAGAAAGAAAGAAAGAGAGAAAAGCGGGCATTATGGACGGGACGGGGCAGGGATTTCTATATAGATGTTCAAACGACGATTAGCGCCGGTAGGCGCGGGAGGGTGACCTAGGACGGGCAGGGATTTCTATATAGATGTTCAAACCACAGTGTAGGTATATAAATAGTTCAAACGACGATTAGCGCCGGTAGGCGCGGGAGGGTGACCTAGTCGACAATAAATAATACGTGAAGCGTTTCAGTTTTTTGGGATAACCGCCCAAACCACACCACCTACAGACACGATTCAACCACCAATCGACAGCTCTCGATCGTGGCTATGTGCGCGGCACATTTTTAATCGCATTTGCACCCCCCAAATAGCCAAACTCGGCCCCTCGACTATGTCGCCCGACGCTCCAGAGATGGCGCTGACTGTCTGCGTGACGTCAGCTCACACGACCGGCGATCGCCGATCATAAAACGTTTATGTCACCGCTGGACAACCAATTCCAGCGTACTGTCTTGCTTTTGCCCTCTTGTTCTGAAAATTTGGTCAAGAAACATGGCGTATAACCTTCATTTAAAACCAAATTTACTCCCAACCACTTCGCCGTAAAACGCCACAATACGCACCAGACCATGTCATCAACCCGTGCAAGTACCGCGGGTTATTCAAAGCGTTGATGTTTGCGTCCTAGATAGCTCATTTGGTAGAGTGTTAGACTTCTATGGAATGCGTCGCTGGTTCGATTCCATCGGGATGTTTTTAAAACGTACTTACATCTTTAGTTACAGTACCCGGCCGCTAGGGTCGCGACCCCGCGTAGAGGTCGCTGCGGTCCCCACGTGCCCGACCGGCCGCGGCCGGGCGCCGGCCGCGCAGCGGCGGGCGCAGTGTGGGGCGTGCGGGCGGAGGGATTGGTG